ACCTGATTCCCCAGGCCACCTTGGGGTCACTGCACTTAAGTCCCAATGAACTCATCTATTCTTGCTTCATATAAGGGCACAGAAGATTGCAATTCTTTATGAATACCATCATCACAAACAGTGCTGATAAAATGGCTACAAAAGGCAATCAAAATATTTTATTGAGTTGTTTTCTCTACAAATGTTTCTTGAAAGAGTCACAAGCCTGTATTCTGAAATTTGTATTTTGAAGTTTCTGTTGTCTTAATGAACAACTCTTAAGCAAGCTCCAGTCTCTGTGTATATTTGCCCATTGCAAATTTAGCCGCCCCCCTTCATTTCTACATCAATAGTCCCAATACAGTGGTTCAACTGCATGAGCCCAGGGCGACTTGTCCTCTAACATTATGAAAGATCAAGAATATCAATCATTTAAATTACTGATCAATGAAATTGTTAAATCAATTAGAAGTATAAAACATCCATAAATTAAAGTGGATAAACCATCAAGTGCATATCAAGATAAAATTTTTGCAACATAATGATACCCCATACAAGCACTGCAAAGATCAACAGTGGAACATTGTTACAATCCCAGAAGCCTTCTTGTATCCTGCCAGTCTGGCTCCTATCTCCATAGATTTATTTTGATGACTTTTAACTTTATATTCATTATCAATGCAATCACATAGTATGTTTCATTTTATTTGTTTGTTTATTTACTGATAGGTACTATGGATTGAACCCCAGTAGAAAGTTCTGTTTGACATATTAAATTTAGGTAGCTTTTTTGCTAAATACCTTCATAGCTGTTGGATGAGTCCCAGCAGGGCAAAACATGGAGTCACAGAGTTAACTGGTAATACATACCCAAATCAGACAAGTCCAATGTCACAGCTTACCTTCCACAGAATCTCTCATATTTGCAGAGGTGGAATCTGGCTCACTTGTCTTCGGTGCTATGTCCTGGCTTTTGTTTCCCTTGTTTCTATTTTCTTGGGATTTTTTCTTCCCTGCAACACAATATTTATTCACTATTCATTATCATTCTGGAGTTTCAGAGAAAACCATTATTAACCCGATCATAGCAACTGTATTTCTTGGCAATAAACACTTTTTATTCCTAAAGAAAGAAATGATGAATATAAACATTTTTTAAAGTCATATCAGAGGGGGGGAAAAAAAAACAAAACCCATAGGTCCTTTATTTGTTTATTTATTTTTAGGTCTTGGTTGTTATTTCTCTCATAGCTATAACGACAGCTATCAAATTAAAAGATAATATATCCTCAAAAAGTGAACATTATTGATGTCAAACAATAACAATGAGTTTTAATACCACACAAATAATAAGAACTGGCAGTTATCTGTAAGAAGCCTATTAGAGAAAAACAATATAGTATAATTTGGAGCCCTTCTGGTTAAGATACGATTCATAACTGTCAAAGAAAAATGGAAGCAGAGATTCCACTGAATTGGAAGAGATACACATGCTTATGCCATAATTGGCTCAAAAATCAAATGAGGAATAATTATGAATAATTCACTGTTAGCCGGCACAGCCCTTAGAGGGCCCTGAGGAATTCAACTCTAAGTCCAGCGCAGTTCAATATTTCACTAGACGCAGGGAAGGAAATTCAAGAAATACTAATTGCATTCCAAGTGATCCCACAGTTTAGCAGGTAAGATTAAAATGCAACATCTCTTCGAGAAGCTAGAACAATGAACTCAAGTCCTAAATGTGCTCAGTGGACATATGACTGGACAGAAAGGACTACCAAGTGACTATTGATTTACAAGCTCCATTTTTTCAGGATTAGATCAAAACTGCTAACTGTAATTGTTCCAATTTTAGTTTCCAAATTTCTTTTTCATGGTAACTGGTGTTTCTCAGTCTTCAATTAAGACAGGCTCCCACTCTTCTTCTCTGGATACTTCCTTCCCTTTCTGCACTGATCTCCCCAGATTGACCCCAAACAACCCTTCAGCTACCCTGCCACTATTATCACACCTCATTAGTAAAATGACAAATGATGAAACACTCACAGCTTCTGGAACACATGGAAAATTATATTCTCCATTACAGAGAATCACTACAGAGGAGCATAATTAGCTAAAATGTAGACAACAGATAAAAGTGGGGTCAGAGACACAAAAGAGCATCACTGAAAAAAATCATTGAGATTAAAAGTAGAGAACAAATTTAACACAATAAGTACTAAACCTTAAAAGCACCACCAGATTTTTATAAAAATTTAAGAGATGTAACAAAGAAAGGGAGGGGGAGTACTTAATAAGTCATTTAGCTTGTTAGTTTTAACAAGTAAATTCTTTTTAATTTTTAAAATATTTTTTAATTGTAGATGAACATAATACCTATATTTTTTTGTGTGTGTGTGTGGTGCTGAGGATTGAACCCAGTGTCTCACATATGCTAGGCAAGTGAGAGCACAGAGCCACAACCCCAGGTGCTTAATAAGTAAATTCTAAAATATCATTTTAAGGACCTAATTCTTCATCCCGCAAAAAATGATATATATATTTTTTGCACCTACACTATGTAAGTGTTCACTTATATACATTTCTGATAACCTGTTCATCCATTCAAGTTCCATGTCAATTAAGATGGAAATGGGACACAAACATACCATTGGAACCACATTCTGGTACAAACAGAAGTTGTGAGTTTGCACAGATGGCCAATTCATGTTACCAGGTAAAGAATTATAAACCAAGGGGCACAATCAGAGAGGCACTTTTCCATGTGGGAAAGCTCTTAAGAGGTTTTCTTCTTTTGTCAATCTAACAGCACTTAGCCTTAATCTAAGGGCTCCAGTTTAAAGGAATTTGGATTCTCTTTCTCATTTTCTTACCCCAGCATGACCCTTCCTATGTGTGATGCTCAGTCTATATCAGATTACTGACACCCAACAAAGTGCACGTCACCCACACACATGCAAATATAAATGGTTCCCTGCCTATGAGTACAAACTGACTGCTCTAGTCTCTAGTGCTACTGCTCATGTCCGAGGACACCCACAGCTGCTTCATCACTGCCCCGTAGTGCCCTCAGACACTCCGTTATAAAGTTAAGATTCAGAGACGATTTTCTCTGAATCAAAAGACATCAGTACCAAATCAGGTACCCCAAGCAGGCCAGGGAATGTGACCTTTTCTTACTGACCACTTACTTTGTATGAGGTTTTAAAATTAATTAGAGAGGTAGTCTAAACATGGCCTTTTCACATAAACCTTACACTGAAATTTAACAGAAAAACAGATGAAAATCTGTCACGAAAATAACCCCTCCAGAGGCAATTCAGAAATTTTTTACAATCTTAAGTGCCACACAAACCTAGTTAATAAGAAAACATATACAGACTATTAAGTGAAATTTCTAGATTTCCCATTATTATAAAACAAAGCACAATTTTAATATTACTATTAAGATGTACTCAAAATGTAATGGCATAACGCCTAAAAGATAAAGTGCTATTTGTAGTTTTATTCCCTAATTAATATAACGCCTAGCTGGTACTGAATGTCAGATGTCCCTTTTTGGACTCCCCAAACATCAGTGGGAAGTTCCTTTTCTCTCCACCCCCTCCCACCAAGATGAGCACTTTAAAAGGCATGACTGTGGAAACAACCCATCTTGGAGAGAAACTACATGGGGTAGGTATATCTTCCGTATGTTGTGCAGAGGATCCACAAGGGCACCCTGCCAAGAAGGCTGCAGGGTTCCCAGGCATCTTCAACTGACATGTGAATGACATTTAGGGTTAGATAATTCTCTGACTTAGGGGGCTATAGATGCACTGGAAGATATTTTGCAGCATATGCCAAATGCCAGCAGTGCCCTCACTTCTAGTTTTGATAACTCCAATCTCAAGACATGGTCAAATACCCCTTGGAAGGAAATCTTCCCAGAAAGAGTCACTGGGCTAGACCAATATTCTGTGTTGTGGGGTAACTAAAAGTATAGGGGCTCTGTGGTCTATATATTTATTAAAAATAACGGTAAGTACTTGAGTAACACTGAAAACCAATTCTAAAAATGAAGGAATAGAACAATTAGATTTACCACCAGAGTAATATGGTGAACATGACAGACTCAGTATGAGAGACAGGTGTCTAGCATGGCTCTTTTATCATTCATTCATGGAACTGAGATATCCAACACATACTATTTTTTCAGTCTTAATCAGAACAATCAGTTAATCAAGACACTTTGAATTACGGTCTCGGAGCAGAGATGAGATGACCATCAAAACCAACAATCCTATCTGCTCTCTTGAGGAAACAACTGAAGGCTGGGGACACAGTGGCACAAAGCAATTCTATGGCAGGACACAAGTCAGAACCAAGGGTCCTGCTCACATTTACACATGCCTGGAGTCACGACATCAAACACGGCAAACACTGATGGAGGAGCCAGTGACACTTCATCAAATCAGTTAAATGCCTTCCTGATATTTGATTTTCATTCTATGTGTCATCCATATAAGATGTATTAAAAGAAAACATAGTCAGGCCTGGTGGCCCATGCCTGTAATCCCAGAGGCTTAAAAAGCTGAAGCAAGAGGATCCTGAGTTCAAAGCCAGCCTCTGTAATTTAGCGAGGTGCTAAGCAACTCAGGGAGATCTCGTCTCTAAATAAAATACAAAAGGAGGCTGGGGATATGGCTCAGTGGTAAAGTGCCCCCAAGTTCAATCCCCAGTACCAAAAAAAGAAAACACAAACCAACCTAGCAGAACTTTTACAAAGGGGCAAGGAGGCTCGTCAGCCTCTGCCTGCAAGTTAAGAGGCAATGCAGGGCGCCTGGCAAGTACACAAGTGCACTTACCATTGGATTCCTGCAGGGTCCTACATGGCGCTACTGTCAGTTGGCTGCTCCACTTGGTCTAGACAAGAAAGATACAGGAATGAAATACAAAGAAAGTGAAAGGAAATGACCACAAAGAATAGCATGAAGGACAGAACAAAACTTTATGTACAGAAGGAAAGGAAATAAACACATAGAGACTAAGAACAGTATGTGAAACTCCAGAAGGAAAACAGTAGATATCTATTGCATCAAGGGTCTCACATTTTAAAAAATCTCTAATTGTGTACTTATGTCTAGTTTGCTGAGGCCAAGACCATGGTGCACTGTATTCATTCTCAAGCCTGTACCAACGCCTGTGATGCCACCTGATGCCAGCACCACTTAAAGACCAATTCCACTAGAAGACCCCAAGTCCCAAACAAGGTGACACAATGGCATTAATTCTGGAGTGAAAATTAAAACCCAAGATAATAACACTAAAAGTGCTCTTTTTCCTACTGTTATTTCTTAACAGCAATAATGGTTTAATGAGCACACCTTATTATTCTTTATGAAACATTTACACATCCATTATTTCAACTGGTAACAGAAATTAAAAGTTGCATAAAGATTTCCACTATATTTAACAGTAAAGGAACAACAATCAAATTAGAAAGCAGCATTTTTACATTTCAGCTTTATCTGAAATCAAAAAATAAATAAGTCAACTGCATAGAAACAAGATCTAAACAAACACAATTCACCTCAAGTAACATAAAGAAACAGGATTTTCTAGTGAAATAGCTACCACGGAGACATATGGGAGGCCATAATGACTACTTTCTTAGACAATGGATGACATTACTCCTGGTGCCTGGGGTGCAAGTTGCAAAATCAAAATTGCCTAAAGCAGCTTGTAAATAATTTCACCTAGGTTTGGTTTTAATAGTAAAACAAACACCAGGATATTCTAGAGAATGTTTCACTTAAAAATGTCAGGCAGCAAAGAGAATGCAAAATTTTAGAGTATTGCTCAAGTTACATTAAAAATTCATCACAACAGTAAAGTCTCATGCATTTGGTGATTTAAGTAAATTAAATTTAGAACTCTATGGAACTCTATATGTGCTGCCTCCGCACTGGGAAACACTCTAATCCTGAAGAACAAAATCAGAATTAGGTATCAGAACAGAGAAGCCAGGTCCACCTGATCTTCTGGGGAGCTCGCTGTCATACTCAGATACGTAGCTGATTTCAAATCAGCAGAGACTGCCTGTGAGGGTTCCACAACTGTGCATTAAAGATCATCCAGGACCACGGGCTGCCCTGAACAGGATCAACATGGACCCACTACTCCCAAGGGTGGGCTGTGCCTACTGCCTCCAGTTTCTTCACTCCCCATTGCACTCCCACCTTTCCTCTTTGCAACTGAGTTTTGGTCCTTTCCACAGAAAGGAACATCACTTCCATGGTTACCTCTGACCTCATAATTACAAATCCAGTGTTTCTTCACTCCCCCCACCCCCAGTTTTTCCCTCACATGTGACAGTGCTGTAGATCTTCTGCTACTGCAATTCCTCTCCCCAGGCTTTTAACACTGCCCACCAGAACTTCCCACTTCTGCACAATCTTCCTCTTCCTCATGCCCCTAAACGAGAGGGCCCCTCATCAGCAAGGGAAGGCTGGAGCCATCCATGATCTCACATTAGGTTAAAGAAAGGCTTCAACACACATGCAAAGCTAAAGTTTTAATACCATGTGCAACTTATAACCAGAGAGGTAATAAGTTGACAGAAGCTTTGGGGAACATGCAGACATGGGAAAATGAGATAAACTGGCTAATTAAAAGATGGGAGAGAAGAAGAACTAGGAGACTGTGGAGCAAGAGGACCCTCAGAGATCCCAGTCAGCTTCCTGAAACAAACAAACAAACAAACACACACACACACACACACACACACACACACACCTCTGAGCTTCACTGCATTACATGAATGGCTTCAAACTCACACCAAGTCAGTAGCAAAAATGGGACTTCAATTCCCATTCAAACCTACCACTCCAGCTCTCCCAGCAGTTCTGTTAGAAATGCTTTCTGGGTTCTAATTTCACTATTAAAAAGGACATAACAAGGGGCCGGGATTGTGGCTCAGTGGCAGAGCACTTGCCTAGTACGAGTGAGGCACTGGGTTCAATTCCCAGCACCACATAAAAATAAAAACAAATAAAATAAAGGTATTGTGTCCAACTATAACTAAAAAAATTATATATTAAAAAAAGGACATAACAATGTCACCTGCAATTCAGGCAAGTGTGAGAAATTCTTTAATGTAGATAAGCTCACCACACATCTTTTCACATTTCTGAGAACCTAAAGGGCAGACCAGTGGTGGGCTGCCATCAGTCAGTCATACACTGCCATCTACTCTAGAGACAAGCTTAAGTTCCAAAAGCAACATGAAAGGCATAAAGTTAAAAGACTTGTTTATAAGATTAAAACAAGGAAAAAGCTACACCGTCTATACACTGTTGTCAGGAAGAGGAATGAATGGATAAGGGCAAAATTTGTCACAATAAAGAACAGCCAAATGATGTTATGTGTGAGACCCTAAAGGAAAGGCAGGAGTTAAGACGACCGAAGCTTTGTGTTATACTGGGTATGGTTTGACATTCTGCAGTTTGTGTGAGGAAAGAGGAGGAGAAAAGGAGGAAAACACATATGACTAAGTTTAAAGAGTTAACAATCCCTTTCAATATCCAAAATGAATACTTTATTGTGGGTGCCCTGGAAGTCACCCAAAGTCAGTGCAAGGAGAATCAGGAACCCTGGAGACCAGGAATAACAGCAACCAGGGCTTCCATAAAGGCCAACAGCATCACATGTGGCAACAAGGTCAGAAGTGGTCACTACAAGCAACCAAGGTGACATCAGTGGGAAAATGAGCCACCTGGGGCCAGGCCTTTTGGGTCCTTTGCACTTGATACTGTGATAGTTGCTTTTTTATGAAAGTAGTGTGTTATACATTTTCTATAATTTTTCTTTTCACTGGAAATAATTTTGAAATTTCCCTGATAGTCAAAAAATTCTAATAAGCTGTTTTGGCATAAACTTTACAGTTAAATTCACCAAGAGATGTCTGTAATCTTGGAGGCAAATTATAAAAACAAAACCTCTCTGGTTATAAGTTGCACATGGTATTAAAATGGAATTCTAGGCATTGCTTCCAACAGAAACAATGGAAAAGTTCTGGATTCTGCAATTCTGCAGATTGCAGTATAAATTCCTGAAATGCTTTCTCTGCTAGGGGGGTGTCGCTGAGCCATCCCTGTGAGGGCTACAGGCCCCCTCTCTCCTCCAAAGCCAGGCTGATGGGAGAAAGCAACATCATATCATACTTCAGATTTTTCTTAAAAAGGTTTTTATAGTGGCTTTCACTGGATCCTTCCAAATCCTACCCAAATCCTAGGAAAAACTCCTCAAATAAATATTGGCAAATTTAAATTTTAAAAATCACTGTTTCCTTACACTTTTTGGAACTTCAAGTCTCAGGGCATGAACAAAATTATTTTAGAGTCTATTTAATTAATTATCTTGGAAACTTAAGCAAGCTGCTAACCTTTTTTATTTTATAGATTAGTTTCTAGGTTTCTTCTCATGGTTTTTTAAGTAGCCTTTATTGGGGGGGGGCGCAGATCTTAACATATGAAAAGTGAAGAGGAAAGGAAAATTAAGGACTGGATTCAAGTCTCAGTCCCCCTTTGCCAAATCAATAGGAGTTGGAGTTGCTGCAGAGGTGTGCATTACAAGTGCCTGACGATCCCAATACAGAGGAGACACCCTCTAGAATTGGTTCTCAATGGAAAGTCCTTCTTTTCTCTTCTCAAAGCATATATAAATTTTAAAATAGTATTCTGGTGAATCAACTACAAAATTTAGTTCAAAAATATTTTCAATAATAAAAGTTTATAGACATAAAAATTTGAGATAAAATAATAAAATTCATGCTTTACATTTGTTTATAAAAATGTCCAAAGGAACAACAGTCATTACTAACACCAGGCTGCAGTGTATCATTCACAGATGTAAACTCCAACTGAACCAAGAAGAGATATACTAAGAAGCTGGCAGGTGGTTCCCAGTGATGTAATGATTGGAAAGGGTATATTTCTCCCTACCCGTATTTCTAAGATGAACATTTGGTTACACCATGCAAAAAAATTAATGGATAAATTATTTTTAAAAAAGAGAGAAAGAAATGCCCATGAAAGCAAAATTAATAAAGATAATTGAAAACATTCCTGCTGGTTGAGATTAACATGTACAATTTTATCAAAGTACAATTTGGACCAGGCCTCAAACTTTTCACTGGGCCTGCTGAACAACAAGAACTTGCTCAAGTGCTTCTCTGTTCTCTATCTCCTACCTATGCACACCCAGTAAAACTGTTTAAAAAAAAAAACAAAAACCAAAAAATCACTATCTCCAAAAACATCAAATCAAATCCACAACACAGTTATGAAGTCTTAAAAGGAATTAAAAATGCTCTTAGCAGATAACTAGTCACAACTGCTTAGGCACTCAGACTACCTCCTGTTCTTCTGCCTCTGCAGCACAGAACTTCAAACATTAATTGGCCTCATCCTTTCAAACAGATACGCTGTGTGTCTTCTTGTTGTTTCAATACCCTTGGCTAGTACTATGCCCACCACTATTTAAATAAATATCTAAACAAGCAGATTGAGTATTAACCTGGGCCTCAGGTCTTGGTCATCAACTGTGACAAGCACAGAGTATTGTTGACAAGCTTTCATTCTGTTTCTCCTAAAATGCAAGAGTAAGCATTTGAAGATGCTGCATTTTGGCAGAGGTTTATGAAAACAGGAACATTTATGCACACTAACCACCTCATCGCTTGGACCTACCATGAAGTGAGGCACTTTCCTTCCACTGTGACTCTGCAACAGTGCTGTGGACGGGTCTGATCCCTCCATGGCAGCTCTCAACTGCCATCCAGCCACACCATGCCCTGTGGCTATGCCCCTATCAGAACTAAGGACAACACACATCGCTCCAGAAGGAAAGATCTCAGACTGCTAGATTCTTCATGTGCATGCTAGCTAAAACAGAATTCTGAACTCTGATAGACTCAACACTGCTC